TTTTCCTTCTTCTTGGTAAATTTATAAGCGGATTTTTCTTGTTCCGGTAGATTGATTTTAAACATTAAACACGATTTTTTCTCCAAGTGTATTTTTTAAATACTTCCAATGTGCCCTAATTTTGGTTTTCATATTAGACTTAATGTAAATTAATTTATTATTATATTAACATTTTTTATATAAAGACAGTCTTGTTCTGACTCAATTCGGAATCGGGTCGCCAAATCGAAATAAGCTCAAAGTGATATCTATGCGATATAATCACAAATTTTATGCACAACAGTCGAACACATACTAATACTGCACAACAGGGTACACAACAAATTATATATTAAGAGTAATAGTAAAAAAATGCTTTTTGAACTTTGGTGAGCTGAAGAGTTCTATGAGTCTCTTTTCGCTTGCACCTTTTTGTGGTGTTATCGGTGGTGATGGTGTTAGCATAGGAAAAATTTATGAGAGTCTACGATAAATGAGCTGGGAATATGTCTTCAAATATGTTTATATTCGAATGACGGAACCGGAAACGCATACAATGGCGAAACGCGTCACAATCTCATATTGAAAGGCATTGAACACGCTATTGTCTACAAAAACTCAATTGCCGCGACAAGTGATTATGACCAGTTTTGTTTCAGCGTCATCGGTCGAATTAACGTATAAGTCGAACTTACGGCAGACCGTACTTAAGGCAAAAAAAGTCGGGTCTTGTCGAATTATCGGCAGTTGACTGTAGACCAAAAACAAAAGCGTTTATTATTATTGATCCAAATAGTTCAGATTTATTGTTTCCCGATGATTATGGGTATCCGTAATTACAGAATTATTAATTATAGAGGGGATAATTACCATTTTATTAAATTTGATAATGAAACTGATTAAGATGTTTGTCGAACAAGGTGCGGCTGGTATTCAGTTGAGGATCAGGCCAAAAAATGTGGTCGGAACACATTAATCGATTGATTGGCCATCCGTGTTCAATTTGATAGTATGAGAGTTGAGAATCTGATCGTCTTGGATAAAGCTCACGCTGCCGGCAAGACTGGTGAGGAGGTGGCGGCTATCGAGAACAAATGGATCACTAATGCTGGTCTGAAGTTGTATGGAGACTAAGGCTTCAATAAAGATGCGCTGTTGAAGACATGGAATGCTAAAGTGAGCATTTTATCACACGATAGTGCTAGAGCTTATGTCCCCCCCTCCTTTCACAATTTGTCAAGAAAAAAATACTTGGATAAAAAACTCTTTTGCGATGCGCAAGCGTGTGCTGTGTATCAGTTATGATTATTCCTAATTAGATGCCAAAAAGACTATATAAATGTGATTTGGCACTTATTATTATATATTTTGTTCCCGTAACGAGGTAACGACTTTATGAACGTTCCGTTCTCATTCTTGCAGATCGTTTTTTACGTAAAGAGAAAACCGTTGATTTTAAAGGTATGGTATCTTTAATACATGTAGACGTACATTCTCATTCAAATAATTATTGCATTCTAGCTCATTTCAGAAATGTCATCCACATCATCAATCCATGAACAATCCAACTTTCAAGGTGGGACCGAACGTATCTCAAGTCGGTAAAGCTTCTATTCTTATAACCATTACGAAATGACACAATGTAACTGGAGTTGCGCCACCCCCTAATAAAACAACCCATTGGCAGGGTAAAATCCAAATCTTCTGTTCTTGCTCATTCATTAACGTTGTTCAATTCGCTGTTTGTTTACGCTTGATCTTGTTATTAATGAAGCTAATACGATAGTTTACCATATTTTTGATGATATCCAACTTCATTAATAACTCTGAACGCGCATTTGTTAGTAAATATCATATCATAGCTACACTGAAAAAATGGCCATAAACCTTGAATACAACAGCCAAGCGTCCATAGCTTCAATGTCAACCCACCGGAGATTGGCTTCTGGTTCTCACCCACTGTCATATCTGGCGTCTTATCTACTGCTGCTACTGCTGTTACCCACTAACACAGTAGCCCTCCAGAACTGGCAAACGTTGACTTTGAGCCAGCACCCACAGCCGTCGTAAAAAAAATCCAAAACTCAAAATACACGTTTTGCGTGATTCGACTATCTACACCGGGGTCGCAGAAACTGTTGCTGTGAACAGATTCCTGCTTTTTTGCCCTGGCTCATTTGTTCGTTTCTTTGCGATTCATTTTTTATCTGCTTTTAGTATTAGGTGAATGTAAATATACGGTACGACAACCCAGTGTCGCACCGACCGCAGATACAAATGACCAATTAATGGAACGTCATGATTACCCCTAATCGTTATCGCGTCGCTCCTCCTTCACCCGTATAAGGCTTCATGACCACGCCAGAAAGTCCAATCGACCAATCCGCGCAATCTTCAATGGAGCTTGACGAGAGTGGACAGACTTTATTCGGTAAGAACGACTGTAATTTCGCCCAGTCTGTTTTAACCTGCTAGCGTTATAATTCACTGTTGGTGGTTCTTATACTTGACAGAGGCGATATTACACCCAAATAGTGCAATAGAAACTGTAGTCTCCGATTGGGTTGAAGCCTATACGACTAGTGCCGACGCAGCTTTACCTGTCATTATCAATTTTATTATTCGAGTACGTATAAAGTATTATTCTATTTTCGATCTGAAACCGTCCGATGTTCTAATTAAACGCTTGTTGCATCTCTAGTCATGTGGTTGTAATAGGTCAGTAAGTGCAGATGTTCATGTCGACGACGATGAAATAGTTAAGACGCTAGAAGAACTACAAGAAGCTTTCGATAAAGTACGTTCGAATGCAACATGTCTTGGTCATTTTGTAGTTTTTGTTGAATTTTCGGTTGATGCATAGTCGTTCAAGTGGAACATACGTGTGTGGATAAAATTATGTATACTCAATCTTATATTTACACTCCATTACCAATGTACAGGAGACAATGTCAGACTATCCTCTTGTTTCTAAATCAAGAGACTTTAAAAAATTCCGTAAAAGCCTACTAGAATTTTTCCATCGTTTGATAAAGCAAGTAAAGCATTCTATACTTTATGACGACGTTTTTTGCGAACGATTGCAAGCATGGATTATGGCTATGTCAAGGTTAGGCCGATCAATTGATTGATATCAAGCTCCATTAGATCGCGTCGTATACTTACGTTGACCGATTTATCGTGTCAAGTTCTGTTTTTCGACCCTTCAGGCATACTGCGACGACCATTGCTCTTGCACTAATGACAGTTTTATGTGAGACTGCGCAAGAGATACAAAGTGAATTTAATATTGCTAGACGACAATTGATAACAGAACAAAACAAGAACAAGGGAGCGCGTAATACGAGGAATAAAGATAGAATAAGCAGTTTGCAAGCACAAACCAAGGAATTAGAAGATAAGAAAAATCAATTGGATAATTTTCTTGGAGCCTTCTTTGATGGGTAAGGTTGAGTTTTTTGGCAAATCTTGTACGGGTATCTATTAAAAACTGTGACAATTAATAAGGCACTCGGTACATTTAGTGTGTTTGTTCATAGATACCGAGACGTTGAAGCTGTTATAAGGGCGGAATGTATTAGAGAAATGGGTTTGTGGATAACTAAGTATCCGGACAGGTTTCTAGACGACATTTATCTGAGATATCTGGGATGGCAGCTGTCTGATAAAGTTAGTGAAATAGTTTCTGAAAATGGAATTTTGACGTGCGCCCTCAATACTCACTATTATTCTTTCTCAATAGTCACCGTCTACACGAACAGAAGCCATCAAGTCACTTTCTCGCGTCTATGCGAATGAGACTTTCATAAGAAACCTTCGCCATTTTACAGAAAGATTTAAGAGCAGGTTGTTGGAAATGGCGTTGAGAGAGTCAGATATCAACGTCCGAATACCTAGCATTCAGCTTCTGACTCAAATTTCTAAAGCAGGGCTATTTGAGGACGAAGACCGAGCAAAATTTGCACTATTGATATATTCGGACAATTCCAAAGTTAGAAAGGCTGTGGCCACTTTCATAATGAGCACGTTACAAGAGGACTATATTGATATAGGGTTAGAGAGAGTACGAAATGCTGCTAATGAAGGATCGACTAGGAGGAAGAAGGCATCAGCAAGTGCTAAAAATATAAAAGAGGATTGGGTGAAGTTTAAGTGTTTTGCCGAATTTCTGGTCAAGTGTGGAGCTGAAATTAAGAATGAGCGATTGTCTGTGGAAGAGGATCGAATGGAAGATGAGAACGAGCCTGAGACGAATGCTAATCATGAAGATGCTGCAATCACACAACGTATCGGGGGAGGGAAGAAGAGTAGAATTGGATTAGCAGTACACGATCTCTGGAGTGAATTGAGTTTACTACATGATTGGAAGAGTTTAGCCGAATATTTATCCAAAGATCATTCATTGAGGTCAGGTGGTAGATTATCGAGACAATCGGGCAATGAAACAGCTCCTAGTGATCCTATTGAAGAAGGATACCGGCTTAGTGAAGAAGAAGAGACAGTTCTCGTTGAAGTACTGGTTGCATGTCTGAAGCTGCTCGTGACTGAAGTGACTAATGTCAAGGATAAGAAAGATGTATGTGTCTTGAGTGACAGAGTAACAATGGCATGGGTTCATTTTTAGTAGTTTGTTTGGTATATTGAATTTAATTTTGTATCCTTCTGCAGGCTGAGACGCAACTTGAGCAAACGCGCGGAGAAATATCACGAACAATGGCCAAGCTTTTACCGCGTTTACTGACGAAATATGCACCAGACGCTGGTCGTATAGCAGAGGTACTCCAGATTCCGTCGATAATGGGTGTCGAGGTGTACATGGATTTGAGAATGAACAAGGTACGCTTTGATAAACAAAATTTGTTGCAATTAGTTCAAGTCACTGTATTCAAATATACTCTATTCATAGGCATTCTCGTCTCTTGTGGATGATATCAAGAAGCTTTTTCTCAAGCATACGCATCCTTTGGTCCTTGCGCATGCTGCTGAAGCAATTCGACATATCATGCAGTATGAAAATTTTGCTTCATTAATCGAGACGACTCTAAGCGAATTACAGGAGGAAGTAGTAAGAAACTTTAGAGAGGAATGCGAAACTAATGTATGTAATATCCGGAATGTATGTGAGCGGGTAAACGGTGATTCAAGTCTAATCGTTTCATTGGCTACATTCGTTTATAGAGTTTAGCCGATGGTCATCTCTCGAACGATCAAGTTCACGCTATAGGGGCTGCCTTGTATCGACTAGAGCAACTAATAAGCGTTATTAATGTGGTCGAATCAATCGAGGAAGGAGAAGACGATAAAGATGTGTTAACCTTGGTGGTGACTCTGGCAAAGCGAGGGTTATTAAGTATTCCCGAAGAGGAAAAGGTATGTTGAAGCGGTGATGATACGGATGATTTATAAAGTAACATTCTTGTTCATAAGAATATGATCTCTTTCAGCTTGTTCTATCATCGATTAATTTCCTCTGGCATTATATTCTGTGGAAAGTTAATAATGTATTTCCAAGTGAGACCGAAAGCGAAGATATTGATATAAGTACCGAGATCGCCGAAAATCTAATGAAGAAAAGAGATAATATAATTGAAGCCTTATCTGAGCTGGTATTAGATGAAGCAGTATCTTCAAATATCAGGAGAAACGTAAGACACTTTAACAAATTGAGAAGTGCGGGACTTTACTTTTATACATTCTGCGTTTTATATATATCGCCATTGTTCTATACATGATTTTTCCAATCTGACTAACGTTTTGTCTGATTGCATAGGCATTCATAAACACATGCAATATTTATTGGCTGTTTTCTAGTGATATATTTTACTCATCAGATAATAATAATGTTACGCGGTTACGACTGACTTGCCCGTCACAGGTGCAACGACTCTTTGCACAATACGTTGAGAAGGAGCTAGAAAGGCTTCGTGGGTTAGTGGATGCTGCCATAATACATGCGTCTGAGGAGATAGCAAATGACATGGATGAGGAGGAAGAAGATCAGGTTGTAGAAAAAAGAACAAAAACTAGTAAGTAGTGAATGAATATGTCTAGTTTTCAAATAATCATTACTAATGTATTTATTTCACTTTAGCCAAAAAGGATCTTGATGCAATAATAAGCCTCGATTTAAAATATAGCATAATGGAGACGGCTGGATCGTTATTACGAGCTACTAGAATAGGTGTATTTAATGCCGATTACACAGCAACTGTCGTATGTCAGTATGGCCGATTTGGTAATGACGTAGATGAGCTCATTCGAAAAGTGGTGCAGGAATTCAAAGAGCGTGCTATAGAAGAAGGATCGTCTATACTATGTCGCGTTTGTATTGATTCGATGCAAAAGGTTGTATTTCTTTGTCATGTTTGCGAGACAGAATGATTGCAGTATAATACGACATCGCAGTGTCACATTCTCATTCATATATTAACGATAATTATGTATACTGGACATTATCATTCACAGTCATTCGAGCTCTATATCGACGACAAAGCCTCATCCATGGAGTCTACGAATCTGCTTGCTCGCGTATTTACACATGCTTTACAACTACGTGATATATACGATAGTACACCACGAAGAGACTCTGAACACATTACATATATGCATCTTCAAGCCATTCAATTTATAACATCAAAGATGGTGGAATTCAACAATGCAGAAGACCGTAAAGCAACCAAAGTAATCAAATATTTCAAGCCGTTAACACTACTGTTGGGAGGCATCAAAAGCGCTGATGCCACAAGAATGTAAGAAATCTGATCATTTTATGTAATGATGCTTTTGTTCTAGCTTATTTTGAAACTAAGTATCTGTACTATATAACAGAAATTCCAAATTACAAGAGGAATTTCAAAACAAAGGTCTGTCTATACCCGAAAATGAAAGAGATTGGGAACCGTACTATTCTTATACACAAAAACTACACAAGATCATGGGTAAAGTCACAGAAACTTCAAGAATACTAATGGATATCGAGATAAGAAATGCGAGAAAAAGAAGGCGGCCTGTGCGTGAAGAGCGACATGACCTTGAGGAACTTGTAGATGCGCAAACTCCAAATAAGCAGTCAAAGACCAAGTAAATTGTCATCAAATATATACATCATTATATAAAAAGAAAATCATTGTTACAGAAATGCAACGACGTGTTTATATAATCTCTGCATCATGGGAAAAATGTTTGGATTTATATTTTTTTAATAAAAAGAAACAATTAAGTCGTCATCTTTTAAAATTGTTTTATGCACAATTACAACGGGTCAAGCTTGCATACTGTATGTGACTCTTGTAAAGGGTATGTTATCGGCACAGAGCACAAAATCTTTTCGGCTATAGCGAAAAGTCAATATATATAATATCGAAAATTTCTACCCCGTATATTCCTCTTCCTCGTAGTCATTGTCACTGTCGACATCATGACTATCATAGGAATCTGCCTCGTGATAGTCCGAATCTGCTTTGTAACCATTTCGTCATAATGAACGATATTAGTATATCTCATAGACTATGAATGATATGCCAAAGTTTATTCATTCCTACCTTGGTCTGAATACACTTCATCTTCGTCCGGATAATCATGAGTATAATGGTCCTCAGCTATTCCATAGGATCAACGTGTTAATATAAGTATTGAGTGTTTAAAATTACGCTTGCCGTGGATGTATTTACCGTTCGAATCTTCGTCCTCGGTAAAATATTGAGAATCACTCGAATCGTCATTTAGAAGCACTTCATTTTCACCGTCAGACCATATTCTAAGACATGAGATAAACAATCCTTGTTACGGCAAGTTTTATTTACTCACAACATTGTAAAAAATCAAATGTGCTTACGCTGGCGCAACATTTTGCCAACGATTATTCTCAGCCAGCAAATTTGAATCGTCTTTGTAAAATATATCATACACATATTCAATGCTAGCTTCTGGCACACGTTCAATAGGCCTGTCTTGCACTGAAATAAAACACTTGCGATTAATCAAATAAAGCACACCGTAACTCGACCGGAGCAAGCCCTCATGAAGACGGCATATATATGAACAACGTAATCGATCAATGCTAAAATGACAACTCTGCTTACGTGTTAAATACTCTTGAACGAGGGATGTAAAATTGTTCATTTCATCATTCACGTCAACAATACTATCAACAAAACGAGTTACCAAACGGTTCTTCCGAAAAGACCTATTCACGTTTGTAACAAACCACAAACATACTTTGCGTTCACTTGAACTTCGGTCTCCTTCACCGCATCAAACATCTTGAAGGTATCCCCCATCACCGTATCCTCCTCTTCCTCCTCATCATCATCATCGTTTGCGCTATTCAACGAACATGTTAATTTTTCCCAAAATAAACTTTCGTAAAATATACTTGATTGGACGTACTGATTAAATAATCCTTCCTTTCCCCCGAACCGATTCCTGTTAATAACTCTATATCTTTCTCTACGCGTGTCGTCATTGAACTGGGCAATTTGTTGTTCACGTATTTGCTTGATTCGCCTAGTATCGGAATCACGAGAACGCGGAGCTTCTTTTCTGTTTACTAGCCTGGCTATTCGCTCCTAATAAAACCAAAATCAATCTTTAGTGAGATCGATAATAGTACAACAGCAATAATGGTATAATTTAGATGTATATTTACTCTCAATTGTGTGGTTTGCGTCGCATCCTCAAAGCTTTTCTCATCAACTGTCTCTGCATATCTAAATACCGAAGATGAGAGCGGCGTATCTGCAAACGGCTGATAGTATATATCACTAAATCCAGCCAAATGTTTTAGGTTTCAATGCTTAATATCAATTCATATAAAAACCAACCACTCCGCTGGGTGATCATATTATCAGGTTTATTGTCAACAGCCCGTCTTGCTTTCTTGCCACCACGGTTGTTATCATTAGTTAATAGTTGCTGAACAACTAAAATACCAAACTTTTAATTAATGCGCAAAAGCCATAGATCGAGCTTTTAAAATATACAAACAAGACAAAACGTACCAAGTGCATCAAGAGGTTCTTCGTTTCGCTTCCTCTTTAACCGCAAAATTGTAAACTTCATGACAAGCTTTCATTGCAGCTAGCCCTCGTCAAGAAATAGAACGCCCCGATTTACAATTTTTCGGATCTGCATAAAATGTGGCAATCTTGACTGCTAACCAATTAAAACAGTATCATGATTCGGTCCTAGGTATATTTTATATTCATTACAAGAATGTCATGCTTTATTGAGTTCCTGAAGCAATTTAAGTTATCCTACCTAATTTTAATATTAATAATCAGCAACAAACAGAATCCCGTATTTTAAATGTTTCTTGTAGCATTAGTGGGGATGATTCCCGTTTTCAATAATAATAATAATAATAATAACCAAACTACATTATAAACATCATCTACTTAATGATCATTGAAAAGCTGAAAATCACAATAGTCTATGTTTTGCAAGACAAGACTCGCCGAGTATTTGCTTGCGATTAATTCTAGTATTCCAAGAAATTTTGAGAACAATCCGTCCTGGTTTATGAAAATCCTCAGTCTTATCTACTAAGCCACAACTAAGTCCAGAAAATTCTGTCTTCAAATGCTGTTCAATTTCTCTCCCAAACATACTCAGGAAGAAATAACCACACTCTGCAAATGGTCTAACAATGTCATTCAGCATGTTTAAATCAGGGGAGACTTCAAATACTTCCTTGTTGTTGTAAGCAAAAATTATTTCAATGATGGTCTCTCCAACTGTCATTGCTTGCCAAACACACGTCTCCAACATTTCCACAAATTTGTCAAGCATCAAGGCAACTGGATGCTGCTCGCGTAAACCAATGTCCTCTCTAGAAATCTGAAAAAAATCAACTTCTTGTAATATTTCTTCTCTTGTCACTGTACTTGAGCAGCAATTTGCATGAGACTTCCACATGATCTTTCCTGTTCGATAGTATTGCATGATGTAATGAAATACACGTCCATCCCTATCGAAGAAATACTCATTCCCATTGTACGGATGAAGCATTGATTGATTCCGATCACCAAACATTGTACCTAGGAAAGTATCTGGATATGCAGTGAGGGTGCTTCTGTATGTTTCGAACTAAGCAAAATTGATTAAATCACAACTTTTAATTTTTCTTGCTGATATAATCTATGTGAATGTCAATAAACGCAAATCAATTATGAACCTTCACGCCGCCGACGTTTAGTATTATCCGCTCATCTGCTTTAGGTTGTTGCTCCTTCCCCTCCTCATTCATTTCTGTATAATATTGTCCAAACAAAAGTGCTGTGAACTATTCAGATCGAATATACCTAAAGCTTAGTTCCAATTTAGCAACTGGTTGATAGATTCGGCCAATCAACAAGTTAGCAATCAGTGATTGGATGATTGTGAACAATACTAACTTTTCACGACGACATAGAAAGAGTCAACCAATCCCAATCTTAAAAAGTGGGCAAATATGCCTTTAAAATCAAAAGTGTTTTGAGGATTAGATTAACAGCAAGTAACTACTCTGCTGGATTTGCGGCACGAACACATCTTAAAAGCAGATAATACCAATAATTTATAATTGACCAACCTTTGTTACTCAATCGAATTCAATTCTACCAGAATTTTAATGTATTTCCTATTTTTGACTGACATGATCCAAATTTAGTAATAAGCTTGTCAACCTACATAAATGGTATTCTCAGATTCCAAATATTTTAAATGGTTTAAGACGATTTTTTCATCTTTGACCAAGTTTACTCCACAAATGCTAAAAATGCCAATAATTCGTGAGCGTCTAACTGCTAGTTTACGATTTACTCTCGGTTTTTGAATTGTCAAATCCACAGATTTAGCGTAATACAATCAGAGATATTAGAACTTTCAAGTCGCAATTGGTCTAAAAATAAAGACAATACTAACAATTCTTTCCAAAAGTGCTATAAACCGTTATCCGAACAACATACGGTAGTATAATTTCGTTTTCTATTGTGTAGAATGTGATATAACCGTTAATGCGTACCACGTACATTAATATTAGATACATTGTATGAGTTGCCCGTAGATAGAAAATCAGACACGAAACAATTGCAACAACTTTTCACGTACAAAGCCTTTTACGCGTACGTTTGTTTAGGGCGGTGTTAAAAAAAACATACAAATCACTATTATTAAATGGTTGGTAGTATCCACAATGGTATAGACGACGTGTGGTTTTCGATAAATTCGGTTTATTAGTGTTGCTGTGGATTTGCTTACCGTAAGCTCACGATGACAGAATCCGACATTGCTGTATGGATAGTTATTATTGTCAGTTCGCATGCTATGCGTTAACGAACTTCCTATTTCATAAACAATTATTCAAAAATGCAGGAAGCATCGCAAACGTAAAACTCATTGGTTGAGAGAATTTAAACGTTCTGTGAGACTGTACTCACACCTATGCTATCAAACGCCAATACGAGAACAACTGCTTGTTTAGAGTTTATTGCTCACAATCAGTTTGAAAGCCTATCTTTAAGAACCTGCACTATATACCCTTCTTAATTCTTCAATATCGACTTTAA